CCCCCCCCCCCCCTGCAGCTAGAGGATGAATGGTTTCATTACAGTGACAAGTTCTGAGGCACTCTCTCACTTCTTCTGTTGGCTCCCTTTATTGCCAAACTATTTACATGCCAAGAGGAAGGGCTGTACTCTGGCTTGATGAAAAAGCGCTTGAATTTAGACTTTTAATTTGTATACCATTCATTATTCTCTAAGGCACTGAGAGGCAAACTAACTTATCCCCCTCTCAGCTTCAAGCTCCTCCTGGACTTTTCTCCCACAGAACGTGGAACTTTTCTCCCCTCTTTTGTTTTTCAACGACTCTCCCAAAAATTGACGTTCCGCTTCCCGTCATGTCCCGTCGCTCGGAAAGAAGGCTAACTTCAGCCATCACATGCAAGATTAAATATGGAGAGCAAAGGGAAATGAGAAAGTAAAGAGGCTTATGAATTAATGACTGGAGTTATTAGTGCTGTAATTAGATTTAGGGAATGGGCAGCGCGGCATGGTGAGACGTGGGGGGGCTTGGCTGAGTCCTTATCATTCACAGGATATCCTGTAAGTGTCAGGACGGCTGAGATGGAAAATTGAGCTCATCCATGCTTGTGTGATAGTACAAGTCGGCTCCACTGCCTGCGCCGCGCCGAGAGATGAATATGCAGAAAAGTCAGGCAGAAGTTATGCCGGAGAACGGTCGGTTAATGTCAGCAACCTGGAAATGGGTTCCAAGTGCTATGTACCATTTAATTTGGTGCCACATCAAAGTCACAGGGAAGAGAGGAGAATATGCAACATTTTAATTTCTCCTTTTTGCTAGTTGTCATTACAAACATAAATTATACAGTCAATTCCAGCATCAAGTACCTTATTAAGCTATTATGTGTTATCCATTAAAGCCCAGCCCTTCACAGATATCCAACAGAAAACATTATCTGGGTGTAGATTAGGCTCTCTATCCTCGCAGGGGAGAATTAATTTTGCCTAACAACTTGTCCCCAACCAATAACATGCCATTCTCCTCCTTAACCCCATACTTGCTGCTCCTGTTTTCCCTGTAGAATATCCACTTGGTGGCTCGCTGGCTGGGTACTTTGGAGAAACTTCTGGAACAGCATGCAGAGGGAAGCCACGAGAACTTCAGGGTGTTTGTCAGTGCAGAGCCGTCCTCCAGCCGCGAGGGCCACATCATCCCGCAGGGCATCCTGGAGAACTCCATCAAGATCACCAATGAACCGCCTACTGGCATGCATGCCAACCTGCACAAGGCCCTGGACAACTTCAACCAGGTAATTTGGGGGGGGGGGGTATGTATCTTACTCATTTCAATTCTATTAAGGCTTACAGTTATGCATAATTAAGGGCATGGCTGCTTTGAGTGACTCATTTTCGTGTCTGCCATGAGTGGCAGTAGAGACAACACATGCCAATTTTCACTCCAGATTTCTCATCAAATTGCCAATTTGCAGAAATGTAGGAGCTAGCAGATGGTGGGAGTCACCTTTTGCTCACCCTGAAATTGCCTCTGACCCATGGAGGACAGATGTGAACGTAGCACATGCTAACGTTAAAAGTTTGTGTGGTTACATTCTGCAGGGAGACAGTGGAATTACGCAAGGACAGAGATCACAACAAAGTCAATTTCCTACTTTTTGTGTTCGTTATCGGAGCGTGGCCAGACAATATCATGATCTTTGGTCGTTATACAGCCCCTATAGTTAGAATGGATTGGTGCTCTGCACTGGCCTCTCCCAGCTTTTCTTTACCTTATCAGTTCTCCTCTCTATCTAAGCCTCACTATTACCTCAGTGCTTCGCTGCCAATGCATATTCCCCCGCACCAGAGTGCTCGGCTTCCTCCCAGTCCATTTCCACGATCCTTAGCTTGCGATGTCTATCTGCCAGATAAGTGCAACGTGCTTGTGAGCCCTGCCTTCTGCAGAGCCACAGAGAGGTCCTCTGAGGTAACAATGGAGGGAATATTCCAGTCATGTGTACTCAGTGAAAGCTAATCAATATTGGGCTAACTCTCTGTAATAGCCCACCCGCGTGGCTAAAGCCAGCGCTAAGCCAGAGAAATGACAGTTTCTTTCCTCTTGACCTTTTCACTGGGAGATGCGTACTGCTCCGTTGCCTATTTCCATCCCCGGAAGCCTGTGAGATGGAGTCTGGGTGGGCTGAAGTTAACGTCTGGCAAAATGGTTTAGGTTTTTACCGAGATAACACTTGTTTAGTACTGTTGAGAAATAAGCTGTTATGGATTTGCACTTCCCTGTTTGCTGAAACTGATCGATTCATTTTATCTTTCAAATTTTACATTTTATTCATGCTTGTTTACCCTGCCGCTAATCTTGGTCTTCTGTCTGTTCAGAGCTATTGAGGTGTCAGTGTGTGTGTGTGTGTGTGTTTATGTGTCTTTCTCTCTGCGATCTGACTGCATGTCGTTTCTCTTCAGTCCACAGGTCATGAATAGGGAGGCTATGCATCTCTTTCAGCTGTGTTGAGCAGAGGAGTACCGTGCAGAATATTAACTAAATCTCCGAAAGGGGGTGTGTATGTGTGTGTGGTAGTCACTGTACTTGTGTGTATGTGCATCGTAGGAGTCAGCTCCCCAGGGCACTGCACCAGGGGAAGTGAAAGGGCCTTCACTGCTGCACTCACCATGACACATACTAGAATAAAGAGAATTTAGCCTTCCTGTTTCCATAGGGGTTATTGGCATGCTTATTTAACTGTCTCTCCCCCCCAGAGATTACAATGCCATTTACGTCCAGTTTTTTATTTGCCTGTCTGAAATAATGAGCCCAGGAGACAGTTGGAGGCTGAAAGCGCCTGACAAGTTGTGACAATTAAAAGGGAATCTCATCGGCGGGTCTATTGCTATCTAGTCATCTCATTGTGTGTCTGTTAGTGTGCAGCATTGCTGGGGACTTGACAAAATAAAACAGATCACAGGGCTGCCTGTCACAACTTTTTACCTGTAACACACAGCCGTGGCTCTTTTAATGCAGCTGTGCAGTTCATAAGGCGTGTGTGTGTGTCTTTTAAATGTGTTCTTTGTTTAAATTTTGTTTTCCAGGACACGCTGGAAATGTGCGCACGGGAGAATGAGTTTAAGAGCATTTGGTTTGCCCTGTGCTACTTCCATGCGGTGGTTGCAGAGAGGAGGAAGTTTGGTCCTCAGGGCTGGAACAGATCGTACCCCTTTAACACAGGAGACCTCACCATTTCTATCAATGTCCTCTACAACTACCTGGAGGCCAATCCTAAGGTATATGTGTTTCTGTTTTTCTTTTATTCCTGCGCAGAGGCACACAAAGACCAATGTGTAATCTTAATTGGAAATCTAAACACATGTGACCTCAGCTAAACACCGCAGGCAGCCTTCCAGCACAGCAACATCCCCTCCGTCTCTGAATCACAGGTGCCGTTTGATGACCTGCGCTACTTGTTCGGTGAGATCATGTACGGAGGTCACATCACGGATGACTGGGACCGCCGTCTGTGCCGGACCTACCTGGAGGAGTACATCAAGCCAGAGATGATGGAGGGAGAGCTGTACCTAGCACATGGCTTCCCCTTGCCTGGAAACATGGACTACAACAGCTACCACCAGGTGAGGCGGACAGGACAGTGACTCAGATCAGGCCATTACACGAAAAGTAGACAAAAGTCATTACAGCAAAGGAAAGGATACGGCAGAACAGAGAAAAAGAAAGCATGGTAAAAGGGTAAATTCAGGCAAAGAATACAGTGCAACTCATAATTACAGTGCAAGAAAATACTATGACTTCAGCAATGGCCCTTTACGTGTTTTCTTAGGGCCACCAGAGGTCCCCAAGGGGCTTATATGTGGCCTCCAGCAAATTAATGATGGTTTAATATCACTAAAATTGAATCACTATAATTAAAAGGTTTTTTTTACCATCACTATTCCCTGTGTACAGTTTGGAGTTCTACAATTCAATGCTAAATCAATAACAATAAAACTCTTCCCATATGGGTCCCTGGGACATAACAGATTGTAGTTTGAGTTATATAAATATTTCTCCGAGGTGGAGCTGCTCTGTGGGTGGAAAGATTTTGCCAGCAAGTCTAAATGGCAAACTTGAATGTTAGCAAACTGAGATTAAGAAGTCGTCTAACAGGGAGAGCTGAAAGGCATGAAAGTCAAAATAAGCAGAACTAGATGAGTCACGATACACACAAAAAATATTTATTTATACACACGCACAACAAACTGGTGTAAAGAATAGATTTTGTGTTGGCAGCTTTGTACTTTTATGCATCTGTTGAATAAACTTAAGGTGAGTTAACCTATCTCAGCGTGCCTTAGGATAAACAGCAATTTATCTAGATAAACACTAAGAATTCAGCAGTATTTAAAGCTGCACTAATCAATAGTTTTATATTAAGAATGTGTTAAAGAACTAAGTGCAATGTGAAAGGACTACAGAGAATTATCAGCCAACTATACTGTTTTACCTCAGTTTTAAGGTGTTTTAACACCTTTCAGCTAATTTTTTTGGTTTTAACAGCCTGTAACTTACATGTTTTAGTTCAGGGTCGCACCTGGCACCTATTTTCAGTGATAATTCATCTCTGATAAACCCACTCTACACTACCTACAACAACAAACGGCAGTTAGCAACTAGCTGGTGTCTGGTGAGCATATTTTTCTCAGGGGTGGAGAGCTAAAAGGAGGGAGAATATTGGAGTAATTTAGCCAAAAACACAACCTCTTTATATAACAGCTAAACTTGCTCATGTCTGCTTGATGTGTAAATAGGCAACTGTGTGCTAAAATCTTGTAACACGAAAATATGCCAGATGTTTTAAGAGTTTGTTTGTCCCCATGTGGCCAGAAAAAGAACAACATCCTTCATTCATCTTAAGCTTTGCGTCCTTGGATCCACGAATACAGGAACAATATTAGACCGAATCAGTTCATACCAATAGAATCAACACAATCAGTGCAAAATGCAAGCGGATGGAACCTTCCTCACATAAATACATGTAACACGAAATGTCATATTTCCCTCCTGTTTTCTGGATTGTTTTTCACCGTTTGAGCATCCACTGGCGCTCTTTTAATTACGTCATCTTGTTGCGCTGTCTTCTCCTGATTTTCCGACTGAACAATTAGAGCCGCCCACTGCTTATCTTGTAAACAAACTCCTAATAATCACTTAATAGTAGTGTTTAGAAACAAGCATTCATTCGCATTTCCTTTTGCCAGTCTACTCAGAATTCAGTTCAAATTTGTCACCAAGTGTCCAACACCACCATTTTCATGAGATGCACGGATGAGTTTAGCTTTACAACGTTTTGGTGTGACTGGGCTGAGCTTGAACCCTGGGGCTTGAGCCACCATGGTGCCCTGCTAGTTAAACATTTAAAAAGCTTAGAAGAGACAGCATACACTAGCTTCATCCCTGTATATATCAGCATTAATAATGTTGACTTGACTGAGCTAACTTTGCTTTTGAGCTCTTCATACACAAGTCCTGACAGCTCCAGACACCATCAGGTTACTGCCTCACCTTGTCTGTTGTACATTATTTATCATTTAACACAAACCTTGATTGACGGGGTGAAATCCAAAATGAGGTAGGTTGTTTGTGCCAAATGCTGCAGCGCACTATAAAAGCTCACATATGTATCTGTTCTCAGGAATGAATAAATGAGCAAGGGCAAGAATACTGTGCTCCTTTCAGTTTGGAACTTGAAGTAGTTGTTTTTTGGGGTGGATTTTTTTTTATAGCTGCATTTTGTGACAGCAGGAAGCAACTTCACTGGTGTCCCTTAAGAAAAACTGACAACTGCCAACATTTATATGAATAACAGCAGTTCAGAAAATGTGTTCTTGTAGACAAGTCCAGATTCCCCCCATGAGGTCCCCAGAGAGGCGCGAGGGGGGTGGGGAGTCCGACTTCTATTTAATTTTTTTCCTTAGCCTGGGTGCTGCTCAGCGGGCACATCCTGGCTGTCACAGCGGCTCCGGTGGGAAGCGGCTGGAGCGTTTTACATTTGGCTGTCACCACACAGCCAAGCTGAGGGCTGAGCGGCTGAGATCTGGCCGAAGAACAGGGGCTGTAAAGGCCTGTGGGGTCCCCGCGGCTCTGTTAAGCAGTCGCTTCCCTCACAACCATCTGGAGCAAACAGTATATTTAGGAGAGGAAAGGGGTGGGATAGGCACAAAGAAGGAAGATGACTCAGCAGTTTTACTCCTCTTTCAACAATATACAGGTGTATGCAATCAGCAAAAGGTAGCCAGCAAGTACGGAGGAGATCAAACAAGCTGACTACAAAGTGTTTCTGTATTAAAGGCCAATATATTTTCCATCAAAACTTTCATCAGGACATTATGATTAGAGGAGCTTTTTATTTAATGTAAGTGCCCCACAAAAAGCAAAGCCTTTCTCAGTTGAGCTTCCACTTTCATCTGCACTAACTTAAAAGCATATTGATATTCATTATGGACAAGCAGATGGAAAATGCGACATTTCCTTCCCCTTGTTATGGTCATTAACAGTCTGTCAATTGATCCTGAGTGTTTGAATCTCACCCAGAAATATCTCACCATTTATATGGTTCCATTCTTGTCCTTTGTCAGCAGTACTTTAGAAGAAACACCTGAAAGGGAAAAAAAAGACTTTGGTACTTTTCTGTCAAGAAGTAATTGCAGTTGCCAATCCTTATGCTGTTAATGTAAAATAATCCAGGGGTAAATTAGGGTTAGTAAATGAAATATTGTCCTGTTCAGTTCATAAACACAGTTCTAACCATCTATTTCAGACAGTCTTCATAGAATAAAAAAAAAATTCTAACAGAAATCAATAAATCCGGTTTAGGATTCTTAGTTCTCACATGGATTTCTTTCTGCTCCAGTACATTGACAACACCCTACCTGCTGAGTCGCCCTACCTGTACGGCCTTCACCCCAACGCTGAGATCGGCTTCCTCACACAAACCTCTGAGAAGCTTTTCCGCACGGTGCTGGAGATGCAGCCCAGGGACGGAGGAGCCGGAGAGGGCGGCGGGACGACACGTGAGGAAAAGGTAAAGAAGACGACTTAGAGAATGGAAACAAGAATCCATAGAGACTAGAGATGGACCTATTCACAGCAGCCACTTTGAAATTAAATAATAGGGTAAACACAGGTGTTCCCAATGATATTAATTAAGGTTTCAGGTCAGACAGTCAGGGTGCTGCTATTGTGAACTGGAAAGGCTCTGCTACACTAAATAAATAAATTCCTCATTTTTCCTGTTATGTCAGAAAATAGTGAAACATTCCCATTGTAATTTTTCCACAGCCACATGTGATGCATTCAGATGTCTTGTTTTATCCAACCAGCAATCCAAGGTTCAATTAAGTTATTCTCAGATTCCAGATCTCAGATGTTTGATTACTTTCAGATTTATTGTCTTCTTACTGTACTAGGATCTGACTGCAGTTTCAGAAGCTTTATTTAGACCATGACAGAAACAAATCTTGATTATACTTTAAGTTAAGACGTAACTTATTCAGAAATCTTCACAAACCATTGTGTGGGCAGAGGGTGCTCTATCAAAATTCATTGGATTTGTCTGGTTAGTTTGACCCTTATTTCCCTCAGGACTTTAAAGAGGACCCAAAGAGTCCCAAAAGCAATTGACAATTTGACAATTTGACAATTTAACCCTTAAAACCTTCCCCTTTTATTCCCTTTGCAACTTTAAGATTTCAATTTTAATATTATTCCACACAGTCTCACATATATAGCCTCGGCTTCTTCCAGCTCCACGTTGCATTATATGATCAGGGTCAGGTTTTAGAAATACTGCGGTCAGAGACATACATGTGGTTTTAGATAAGAAGAACTGTTTATTTTACCTTTTTACATAAACAAAACAACAAATAATGTTGTATAAAATGTATGAGTGTGATATTCATGCCCAACACTCCATGTTTTCTATGGCTGCACCATTCCCTTAACTAGAAACTCCCCAGCTGTCCTTAGCATAATTTTATACACATTTCCCCAATATTCAGTTTTACATATTTGGTACCTTAGGAAACTTTGGGGTCTCAATCTGAATTTAGGATCAAGTCCCGTGGGTTTGAACACTTTTTGGCTGCACAGTATAAAATTGTGATGACAGGCCCACTAGCAGGCCAGTGAGTTTAAGGGGGTAAAAAGCTGGTATTTGAACTTGATTCTGATATGATATTCTGTCTTGAAAAGCCAAGCCCTCATACACTGGGAGATATCCTGTGCAGATATGTAAACCAAGACCTTTCACAAAGTCAACTATCTCACTAAACTCTGGGCCGGAGCGCCAAATCTTAAATGTATGATGACAACAGGTGACATTTTCTGTAGCTGCTGCACACTGAATTGAAAATAAATTGCAGACCAACTGTTTGGGGCCTCTGGCAGCACCCAGGGTGATTCTTACAGGGATGGCATTTTCTGGTGCATTTTCTGGTTCAGTACTGCTCTGAAATAAAACTTATTTGAGTGTAAAAGCTCAAACAAATATTCTGTCAGAGAGAGTGCAGTCTTGCGCACTCTCAATGGAGCGAGTGTCATTTTTTTAATATCATAAATAAGGGTCTTGGTTGTCTGAGTGTTGGCTTTGTAAAAAAGTCATTTATGCCTATTGTTGCTTGAAACAAGCAGCAAAATGTGAGTTATGTTACAGGCCTTTTTTAAATTTTATAATCATCAAACAAACAAAATCTCTTCTTTTTTGAATAAGGGGTTGGTTAGTTTTATGCTTGTGAATGATGAGGTGGTTCTCAAAAACACTATTAATCCTAATGATTGCATTTTGTACAGTGCAAAAAAGCGTAAATTATTTGTGATAAAGTTAAATTTTTACGACATTTCCATAGCTTTACGCCCCGTTTGAGCCTCTAGTGCAGTAGCATTAAATTCCAGTCACAGTGGGAATCATCTGTTTCTCTGAAAGATAAATACTATAACCCAGAAGGTCTTTTTACAACACAAACAGCTGTTCTGACCCATGAATGACAAAGTATTTTGTCTGCTGCACAGTGGAAGAGATTTTTAACCTGTTTCTGAAGTTGCAACTCTTCCTGTCCAGGTAGCGACTTACAGCCATCTTTGTTTGGATGGAGGCCTACATAAGTATGCAGTAAGAGCAGTAGGAATGTAAAGAAATATTGCAAGACAGTTAAATAGCGATACAAATGAGTGAAGATTCAAATGGGTGAGTTGAAAAATTAATTGACATACTCTATGTAAACAGTAGAGGGTGCTTTCTATTTTTGGCTTTGCTTGTCTAAAGTCCTACGTTATGTTCGGGAATTTTTTTTTGTCTTCAATCTCTTTTTGTAAAGAAAAGAAAAACATGAGGAACTCACATCTTGAACCCAGTATCCTGAGATGTATCAAATCATGAGTTCAGTGTATCGTTGCATCCCTACAGTGCAGTGACCAGAGGGCTGTTTCATAAAGCAAGATCCATCCTTTCCAATGTTTATCAAATATCTGTCTTCAGTCTCAAAGCAAATGTTAATCTTTCCATTACAAATATGTCATGCATCACATTGCACCAGTCTTCTTAAGTGGTTGGTCTTTGACATATTTAGTTTTTTGTAATGGCTTTCTCACTGACAATCAGCATTAAGGAAAGCCAAGAAGCTGTGGTGGCATCTTACCAAAGTACAAGACCTGTAAACAAAAGTCAGTTTTTCCTTTCTCTGATTGTCTCCCAGTACCTGTGAATCCCAGAACCTTCCCAAAACACTCCCAAAACACATGATAGTGGTTTCCTTTCACAGACCCACAGCCCCTCCAGCATGCTGTCTGTCAACCTGTTAACTGTTTAAGTGCTGGTGTTACAAAGTATCTGACCATACTTTTCCAGTTCAACTCTCTCCAAGTTGGTTGGAGTTTAAAATAAAGACAATTAACAATTGTAGCTAATTGCTGTAGCGTCATAGTAAGAAACATTTCCACATTTTATTGTCCTTAAATGTCACCGATATATAATTCGAGACCCCCACAAATCTGTAAGGGTGAACAGCAGGAGCAGACAGCTAGTTATTTAAACAGTATTTCCACCATATGTAGGCAGCTATGTTACTTGTACAAACCAAAAAATTGAAGTCTCTTACACATTATTAAGTTTTTAGAACCAATGATACAAAAACATTTCAGATTACTCATATGGGAAGTGAACTCATGATGTTACAAGTTGAGTGCTGCAACAACCTGGGCTAACAGTCACTGTTTTAATATCATAAATAAGGGTCTTGGTTGTCTGTGTTGGTTTTGTTAAAAAATGTATGCCTATTGTTGCTTGAAACATGCAGAATAAATGTGAGTTATGTTACAGGCCTTTTACCACCAGAGTGATTTCTCCTCTAAAAGCTCTTTTATAAAAAAAAATAACGGCTTGGTTACTTTTATGCTTGTGAATTACGAGGGGGTTCTCAAAACACTATTAATTCTCATGATTGCATTTTGTTCAGGGTGAAAACAGTCTAAATTACTAGTGATAACGTTCAATTTTGACAACATTTGCTTAGGTTTAGGCCCAGTTTGCGCCTCTTATATAGCAACAGAGTTAATATCAACTTGTGTTAAAGTCCAAGCTCACCACTGCTCTAAAACTTGCTCTCAAAAGATCCATTTTGCTTTAAAGGTCCAGTGTGTAACATTCAGGAGGAGCTATTGGCAGAAGAAGAATATAATATTCATAGGTATATTTCATTAGTGTATAATGTTTATCTACAGCAGGAGTGGGTCCTTTTCTCTGGAGTTCGCCACGGTAAACCGCCATGTTTTTATAGTTTTTTTTTATAGACCAAACACTGCTCCTAGTAGGGCCTTTCACCACCATAGTTTCTCCTATACACTTGAAAGGGGAGCGATATTCTGTTGTTTGCAATCTGCAACTTCACCGCTAGGTGCAACTAAAATCTACACACTGGTTCTTTAATTACACAGAGTGAATTGAGCAATTTGACTTCATCCCAATCAAGAATATCATGTCGCAACTAAAAGAAAACAAAGTCCATCCCCTCTCTCTTTTCTCCTCATACCACACAGAACCTCTCCTCACTATTCTATTCACTCTGACAATAATAAACAACCAAAAAAGCACACTAAAAAGCCAAGTTAATTACAACAAATTATATTTTAACATCACCAAGTATTCAACAAAAACACAGCAGTGATACCTGCGCTCAATGCTAGGCCAAATACATTCAAGCCACATTTCTTCTCTAAGAGAATCAATGACACTTATTATGAATTTAACATTCACTCAAACACATAGATATGCGTTTCCGAATATAATTTAATCTGGCTAGATACATACTGATCGCCACACTTCTATTAGTGATATCCGGTCCTCCGAGCACCTTAATAACCATTACAGTTATATAACACCCAGATCCCCTCAATACTATTAGTGACGCCAAGACAGCAACTAACAGACAACTAAATAAGATCATCAATATTGGTAATCAGCAGTCAAAAAAGGACAAGCATTATCAACCAATTAGAAACAGTTCTGCAGATATAAGACAGCATGTCAGATGAAAATTATCATGTCAACGAGCCAAAATTAGAATGATATATGCATCTACAACATTCAATAAAATTTCATAGAGGAGCGAGACCCTGAATTACCTCGACATGTCCAATTTATTTTCTTCTCGCTACACGCTTTATCTAATGAGTGTCTTCTTACATTCTGCATTATAATAGATCCGATAGCTGGCATACAAGCGATTCAGAACTATCTATAAACACACTTCACAGGTATTAAACTAACATTACAAGAGCCAACCTCTGTCACCTACATCTCGTACCGCAATCACACACTTCTCATCACTTTCACTCAGAAATCATGCCCAACTCCATGCCGTCAATTTGCGAAACCACTAAATATAACTTCCCGCTCTCGCCCAGTTGTCATAATTCCCTCTCAGCGAGCGTCCGCTCCTCTCTGCTGACGCCCACTTCACACTCTCTTCTCATGTCTCCTCTCTGTCTATCCATAATCATTCCCTGATTGGAATTCAATCATGCCCTGCCCTACTGTCCATCAAAACACTTTCTTTCACCTCAGGAGAAGTTTTTTTGTTGTTTTGTTTTTCATCCCAGGAAAGGGGAAAAAGTTTACTTCTCATCAACCAAGGCTTGGTTTACTGATTCAGTAGTATAACAAAAAGTCTCGATTACATATACAAATTCATTTCAAGCCGTTTTCAAGGGAGTGAAGTATTTGAAGCTGCATTGATTTATTAGTTTTCGCCATTTGGGGGCAGTGGTAGCTGTAAACACACAACACGTCATCGAGTCCCAAACAGTTTCTACGCTATTACACTCCACGCCTCAACATTGCATTCATCCGAGTCCATGTTTCTGCCCCCCCGACTAATTTACAGTCCAGCATTCCTCTACTTTTACCTGTTCAAGCATAATTGCAACATCCCCTCAGTACATGAAATAGGAAACCTGCCCAAATTTATTTCCAGACATTCATTAAAAGCTCCTCCAGCAACTCCTGCTTTATTTGTTCATGTCAACCAGCAACAGGACAACCAACACGTGTTTTGTGCCAGGATGCTTGAACACCAGCGTCTGATACACAGATGATGTCCCTGTCAACAAGAAAACAGTGTGCTTAAATTGCATCATGGATTTGTGTTCGTACCCAACCATTTGTCGCGCATGGCCCTAAACATTTTCCCCCTGATGTTATGAACATGCAACCATAGCTGCGAAGAGATATAATATGTAGCAATTTTTATTATACTCTTCTGAGTAGGGGGGGCTGCCCTCGACAAAAGTTTTTTATATCCAACTAGTTTGTTGCATGTTGAATTATCTAATGATTTAAGAAGATAATTGAACAGTCCCGCCCCTGTTGTTAAATGCCGAAGAGTAAAACTGTAAGGATTGTGAAGTGTCAGAACAACCAGCAAGGAGACTGAACAGTTTAGTTCATTTAGTGTCAACACAGTATAACATCACGCATCCATTGTTCAAAACACTGAAAAAACAC